AAAAAAAAAAAAATTTTATAAGAGCATAATCTTTCGTGCACTACAGCCCACTTCATATGCATCCGAAGAGGGGGGCTGTAGCCCACGAAAGCTTATGCTCTAATAAATTTGTTAGTCTCTAAGGTGCCACAAGTACTCCTGTTCTCTTTTTGCGGATACAGACTAACACGGCTGCTACTCTGAAACCTGTAAATAACTCGTTCATACTTTCTTGTGTCACTAACAGAATTGGTTGTTCTCGGCGATTCCATCTGAAACCTTTTGGATTGGATTGAATAGCAGGCAGCAAGAGTCTATATGGATTTGGTCAAATGGGAAGTCAGCTGCTAAAGAACTTGATTGGTAAAGTAGTGCATGACCCTAACAGGCATTTTGAGGACCAGAATCTTAGCTGCTGTAAATTGGTGTAGCTCCACTGAGCTATGCTGACTTACACCAGCTGAGAATCTGGGCCATAATATCAGTTAAAGGCAAAACAGAATTTGTCATGTTGAGACATTTCGGCACTATCGCTGCACTGAGGAAGGTATAGTATGAAGTGATGCCAAAGTTGCAACAGTTGCACATTCTAGAAAAAATGTACAAGAGCTAGTGAAAATTTTTCAAATTAATTTGAAAAAGTCTGATTTTTTTTTAATAAATTTTTCCTCATTTTTGACCAGCTCTAAAATGCATCAATCTGGAATCATGTTATCAATGTATTTGAAAAGCTGTAACAGATGTAGAAACTTCCATGAGACACTGCTGAGTTTGTGAACTCTGTGCCTCAGAAATAGAATATATGCCATGGATGGAACCAAAGCATGCTGTGATAGCCAGAGCATGCAATTTACTTAAGTCCAAATGTGTCAACACGGTCCCTTGAAATGTCTGGCAAAGAGCAAGAATGGGAAATGCCACAGAAAGCAGAAATAGAGGAAGCTTAAAAAGATGTGTGGCTCATTCTGTTAATATAAATATATGGTGCCCAGTTGACCTTAATGCTGTAGAGACCAGACCCATCTCATCTGGCTTTTGCTTGAGTAGGAATCTGATGGGTTAGTATACTGTATAGTGTGTTTTGGAAGGAACACAGATCTTCTTCCCAGAGTCATAGAAACTGGTTTATTTCTTGCAAATGTTCTTTTTGCATCCTGAACAGCCAGTGTGATCTATTGGATTGAGCTCGGGGCTGGGAATCAGGTGATTTGGACTCTATTTACGGTGCCTCTACTGACTATGAATTGGGGCGAGTTACTGAATCTCTTTTTGCGTCACTTTCCCCATGTAAAATAGATAATATAATACTTGCCTACCTCTGTAAAGGGATCTGAGATAAGTGCAAAGTGTTCTTTAGCCACTGGGGGAGGAGGGGCTCTGGGGCATGGGGCTTTAGCTCTGGAGGGGGGAGCACCAAGAATTGGGGCTTCAGTCCCGCAGTGGGATGGGAGGAGCTCGGGGCTTCTGCCCCATGAGAGATGCCAGGGCTTCTGCAGGTTTGAAAATATTTACCAGAGTTCCGCTCCCGATGGCTTTGGCTGAATTTAAGCCCTGCTCATGGGTCATGTGGATCTCACTTATGTCATGTGGTACTTATGTAGTACGTAGGTTTTGTGTTCACCCTCTGCAAAGGGGTTAATTTCACTCCTAGAACCTGATCCAGCTCCCTTGGAAGTCAATGGAAAGATTCACAAGGATGTTTTGCGGATTAATTAATGTTTTGTAAAATACTTGGAAGTTGAGCAATATTGTTATGTATACCTATGTGTTTAAATGGCCGTCCTATCACTCCTAAAGCTTTAAAAAAGACAAACCTTGAGGGATACAAGTACTTCCAGTTTGAGATTCATTGGTCATGTATTTTGTATTTCAGGTTATCCATGATTGGAAATCCATCTGGAAGATGTGCAGGTATCCAGCCAGCACCCAGAAGTATTTTAAAGTTTAACTGTGAAAATAAGTACAGATGGCTTTGTAAGAAAGCTGAATGTAAGTTGCAATGAGGGAGTTTAGGGAAATTTTTTTCCAAACTTTTTTGGGAAAAAATTCTAAGTGTGAGAATAGAATAGAATACAAATTAATTATATAAAGCCTCTTTCCTGCAAACCCTGCCCGAGAGCTATTCAGTGTTTAAAATGACCATAGAGGTAATTAGTATATAGTATAAATTGTGGAAAATGGGGTTTAAAGACTGCAGGGTGGAAAAAAAATTAAAGCATTTAGCTACAAGAGTAATACTAAGTTAGCGAGGAACCAGGAAACCGACAATGGAGGAAAGATTTGAAAGTCGGTATGGTGGAGAGATGCATCCAGGTTCTAGATGGTGGGAGCTGCAGAGGAGAAGCTTCTTGTACCAACCCTAGCCAGACAGGAAGAAGTGATCGAGACAAACCAATGTAGTGGGGTAGGGAGATGAGAGCAAAAGGCTTGTAAAACAGGGTAGCCTAAGCCTAAGTCCATGAAGAACAACAGTTGGCTGGATCCTCATCTGGTGTGAATGGGCATAGTCCCATTGAAGTAGTTGAGGCTGCGCCCAGATGCCTGGTTTGGTATCTGCAGCTCATCTATGGTTTTCCACAGGGTTTTTTTTAAGGATATTTTCATCATTAAAACTCACTTCTTCCCCTCCCCAGTTTTCCTCCCTAAGCATAATTCTGTAATGATCTAAGGCAGTGACTCTCAAACTTTTTTACTGGTGATCCCTTTCACATAGCAAGACTCTGAATGCGACCCCCCCCCAGGGTGACCAGATGTCCCGATAAAATCGGGACTGTTCCGATATTTAACCCTTTGTCCTGCATCCTGATCAATGTAAGATCAGGATGCCATTTGTCCCAATATTCAGGTAAGGAGGCGAGCGGGAGGGAGGTGCCAACTCCGTGGGTGCTCCAGGGTTGGAGCACCCACAGGGAAAAATTGCAGCCAAGCTCCCCCCTCCTCGCTTCCTTCTCTTCCCCCTTCTCCCAGCGCGCTGCGTCCCCGTTCCTCCCCCCCCCCCCCCCCAGCGCGGCATTTCGGCGGAGACGCCTCTGGATGACGCTGCTTGTCGGCGGCATTTCGGCGGATGCTCGTCCGCTGGCCAGTATGCGGGCGCACGTAGATGCCTGGCGGGCGCCATGGCGCCCACAGGCACCACGTTGGGGACCACTGCCTTAGAGGGATATACTACCCTGGATCAGTGAATGAAACTCCCGTTGGTTTCAGTGGCAGCTGCATGTACATATCGAGGGCAGTATAAGATCCTTATTTCTGTGCATTGTTTTCTTGGCATGCTGTTAAGTGCAGCTATCTTTATGCCAAGAACGTAGTCCTGAGATGATGTGCAGGGGGAGACCTGCTGGTTGCAGGCAATCCATGATGTTGTAATGCATTAGTGATGGCAGTGCTCTCTCAACTGATGGAAGGAGAAAAAGACATAACTTGGAACAAACTGACAAGGTTGTATAAAACACTTGTGGCAAATTTTGAAAACCTCCATCTGAAGTTTTCTCATTTCATTCCAGTTACATAAAATGGATTTAATTTTTCAAAAATTCTTTGAAATCTCATGTCCTCTTGAAAATGGTTCTCTTGAGAAGCAAAACTCTCTACATTTTTGATATATTGAATTTCCAAATTCATAATTTAGTTGAGGTGAAGATCAATTTGCACAATAAAACGTGCACGTTCACCTCAGTCTGGCATCTAATTTTGCTGTATAATTTGTCCATATAGTTCTGTGCGTGCTTTTCTATGCACATTTTAGTAACACATGTATGTACACACAAACTACAGGTTTCAGTAATTCCACACATCCAAAACTAAATGGTCTTTTGAAAATTTACCCTGTATGGCTTCCAAAAACATAGTTAATTTCATTGCATGGATTTGTTTTTTCTTTTCTTTTGTTTTTTATAGCTCCACACATTTTTGATGTGTTTCTTAGTCGGTACCTGTCAAGACCATTTTCATCACAGAAGATATACAACTCCCTCCATAGTGCTAAGATAGACTGCTTATATGACAGGAACTGCACAGGAGTAGTAAAAGTCTCACAGTACTTCAGAAGAATGGCAGGAATTGATGAAATCCACTTTGCTCCTTTTACTGCTCCCTCGAGTGCTATTTCGTATGTAAAACGTGGTATGTGTCACACTCCAAGTACAAATTTGCTGCAGGTACAGAAGAATGATAGCCATGTGGTAAATTGCATTAACTTTTCACCTATATTGCCTCACCAGTCTATGGTGGTTAAAGCAAGTCGAAATGTTTCATCAAAATTTGGCCAGTTTTGGAAAACTGAATTTTTTTTTTGGCAAAAATACTTGTGGTTTTTTAAAAATTAGACTGTTTCTTGTTCTTTGGATTTTTTGTTTGCATTGCCAGTTTAGCATGATCAAATACTCACATAGCGGGCTTTTTTCAAAACAGAAATAATTTTTGAAAATTTTCCAATTTTGAAAATGACTTTTTCTACTTTAAAAAATGTTATGGAAAATTCTGAAAACCCAAGGAGATGAAAAAATGTTCAATTTTGCAGAAATTATTTACAGAAACTGAAAATTTATTTCAGAGTCTTTGACCCTGATTCTTTGCTCTGGTAGAAGAGTGTTGACTGCAATTTATGGTGCTGAAACGGGTGCAAAGGTAATGGTAAGCTCCCTGCATTCTGGGGCTGCTCTGTGCTGAACTGGTCTCTTGATGAATGTTAGAACAACCTGAAATCTGTTTTAACTAGGGCTGTTGATTAATCACAGTTAACTCACGCGATTAACTAAAAAAAAATTATTCACCATTAATCGCAGTTTTAATCGCACTGTTAAACAATAGAATACCAATTGAAATGTATTCAATATTTTTGGATGTTTTTCTACATTTTTAAATACATTGATTTAAATTACAACACAGTATACAAAGTGTTATCCAGGGTGGGGATTTGATTTAAATCAAATTGATTTAAATCACTAGTCAGGAAGACTCAATTTAATCATGGATTTCTACATAAAAGTGCATTCTTGTTGGTTATTATAACCTTAACACATATTCTTCACAACTCAGTGATAGATGTAGGTTTCATTTTTAGAAGGTACACACTATACATTTTTTAAAGTGATTTATTTTGAAAACTTTTTAGATTAGTTTTACAGCTATATCAGAAAATGAATGATTGTTTGGTTATTTCATTTACCAAAGGTAATTGAAGCAGATATTTACGAAGTCATTGGGAGGTGAATTATCTCCAATTCAACAGGTTAATCATTAATATTTATAGGATTTTCTTGCCATGCTGTATTAGGAGGAGAACATCACTAGACAGACATTTAAATTGTTTTATTTAACTAAAACAACAACGTTATGTGTTCTGGATTTTTTTCTTCAACAGCAAACATAAAATATTTTAACAAATCAAGCATGTGAATTTTTGAATTTAGTTAAACATTCAAGTTTTTTAAAATCAGGTTTGTTTTTGTTAAAATTGTTTTTAACTAAAATAGTTAAATTAAATTTAAAAAAAAATTAAATCGACTGTCAGCCAGGTCAACATGAAAAACTTAAACTATTGGCTTCTTCAGCTAACTCAGTTGTCTTCACCTTCATTTTCCTGTTTGTTCATAATCTGGAAAAGAAAAACAAGCTTTTCTGCTTTTTCAGGTCCCTAACGATTTCTCAATTTGGAATGAATTAGTCCAAAGGAAGAAAATATTCTTTCTACACCGGCAGAAGAAGCTACAACTGTTAAAAGTGAGATTATCACTTCAACAGTCTCTGAATCCAAGTGCTTAAGTGACTTCCACCAGTTCACTGGTGTGACTTTCTTTAAAACGTCATCAGCAAACATTTCTTGAATGGTTCACCCTTAGCTCTGAAGTTTATTATAGTTGGCATTATGGAGGGATGATTGCTGGATGTTCATGTCATAGCCAACTCCTCTTCTTCAGCAGTTAAGGTTTGACCCTTGTACCGAGTATTGAGAATATTTGCAAGAAAATGAGCTGGAAATAGTGCTTGTCCCATTCGTTTTTTTAATGCTTGTAATTTAACTCTGTCATTGCATATTTCTCTTTTTAAGGTTTCACTCAGTTCCAAATTTCAACAGCGTCAGCAATAAAACAGCTATTTCCCTGCATTTTGTTCAAGGCTACAGAAATAGGCTTCAAGGTACTCAGCATTTGTTCAACATTTCTCTTGAGCCCAATGTTGAGTACTTTGGCTGTGACAGTGCCATCTATTTTTTCACAATTTTGTTCACAAAATGTCATCAAATTAGGCCAGTTCTTGATATAGTGTTCAAAACAGTCCACTACTGAGTTCCATCGCACGCCTTATGGGAGAGTTAGCTTGGTTCCTCCCACTTTTTTCAGAGCAGCTAATGCAAAATGGTTGTTACGGAAGTATTTTTCAATTTCAACAACATTAGCCTTTATCTCTGGAACACTGACATCTTTGGCTAAGAGGTTCATCAAATGAGCACTGTAATCGTATGTCATTAGCTTGGGACTCTCTTCTAAATAATTTCTTCTAATCTTGGATACATTTGCAGCATTGTCTGTAACCAAGCTGCGTACTAGACATTTGAATTTTTTTTCACAGTTTGTTATAGCTTTTACTACTACTTCTTGTCAGTATTCCGCTGTGTGTGCATTACCTGATGTATCAATTGTTTCTGTAAGGAAGACATTACCTTCTTCTGTTGTCACTCAAGCACATACAACAGGATCATTGTGGACATTGCTCCACCCATCAAGATTCAGGTTAACAGTTTTACCCTCTAGACCTTTTGCACACTGCTCAGTTTCTCTTTCATACATTTTATCCAGAAATTTGCCTGCAACAACTGCTCTGTTGGGTGGATTGTATCCTGGTCTTAATGACTGAACCATGTTAATGAAGTGTAGGTTCTCAATCATACGGAAATGAGAGTTTGTTGCATAAACAAACTAGGCAATTTTTTCATCAATTACCTCTTTTTGTAATCTGCTGGTTCTTATCACAAACTTATCTATGGTTGTTTCTGGATGATGGAGATTTTTTTCTTTTTGCTACAGATGATATACTGTGGCTATGTGACATACATGATGTGACTGAAACACTATCATTGGAGGATAACTCTGAAACTATAGAAAATGATGGTGATCTTGAAGGTGGATAGTCTTCAGAATCCTTTATGTTGAGGATGGATTCTCCTAAACAAAATACGTCAATGCAGTTATTTAATTATTATTACCATACTGCTCATTCAGGGTACGTCTACACTACCCGCCGGATCGGCGGGTAGCAATCGATCTATTGGGGATTGATTTATCGTGTGTAGCATAGACGCGATAAATCAATCCCCGATTGCTTTCCCGTCGACTGCTGAACTCCAGCTCGGCAAGAGGCGGAAGCAAAGTCGACGGGGGAGCGGCGGCCGTCAATCCTGCGCTGCAAGGACGCGAAGTAAGTGATTCAAAGTCGATCTAAGATACATCGACTTCAGCTACACTATTCTCCTAGCTGAAGTTGCGTATCTTAGATCGATTTCCCCCTCCCACCCCCCTCCCAGTGTAGACCAGGCCTTAGTATTACTCAGTGCATTCACTGACACTCAGTGCTACTTTAAAGGTGAAATTGTAAAAGGAAGATCTGCCTATTTCAGCTATTTATTTTTTTATCACAACTGCATCTAAAATGATAGTACCATAGAGTAACAATTGTATTTTTTGCTCAAACATGAGAATGCAAGAATAATCCAGAGGAAGACAGGCAGTCCTTAAGAAAGAAAGAAGTATGAAATAAAAAAATGTTTACCAACCTGAAGATCCTGCATGTTCAGACATGTTCCTTTCATCATCTTCAACGCAGCTTCCTCCTGAGAAGGAACACTTTTCATGATGTTCTTTCATTCGGGCAACTAGGCCTTGCGTTTCTTTGTTTCAGTGTTTGCATTTTGCACGCATGCCTGTCTTACCCACAGGTAGAGGAACTTCATTAAATATTTTCAAACTGAGTCTCTTTTACAGCCTGCTGCCATTATAGGTTTTCCCTTCTAGTGAGAGAATGGTATGGTAGATCTCAAATCAATGAAGGCTATGCTCAGAAAGACCTCAAGACTTCTGGAATAAAACTGTTTCACTTTTGTTTCTACTGCCTGTCCCTCCTTTCTCACATTTATCTCCAGACTTCTTCTCCTTGTCCAGATCTATTCCGCCCCCAACAATCTTCTATTCATTGAACTTTTTGAAACTTTGCACTTTTAGAGAGAGGTAAGGGATTGACTCTGTGTACACAAATTTGCAGAGGGACAATAGGGTTGAGGTCTGTTCTTTCTCACCTCTATATATTATTTATTGATTTTAAAACATTTTTGCTGTTAACAAGCATGTTATCTCTGGAGACACAAATTCACAGTTTCAGACCTGCAAAACTAAGCATCTCTAATGGTATCTTCTAGACTGAACACTGAGTCCCATTGGGTAGATAGAAGGATTAACCTAAATCTATACAGAAGCCTCTGGAACCCCATAAGATTGGGTCCCTAATCCATGAACTATTGGAACTCATTTACAGAATTTTTCTTAAACATTACATGAATATATTGTCTCATACTATAGAATTAGAATTTATAATCCCTATTCCATGATGAGATATCTTTGAGCTATAATGTATCTTAATTAAAACTATCTTTTCCTCAAAAAGTATTTTATCAAAAAAAAATCCAATTTAAACTTTAAAAAAATTGACTTTTTTTTTATTTTTATTTTTTTTTAAAAAATCATTGATTTTTATCCACCCTGGTTGCATCTCAGTAAATAACCCTTCTACTTAAGGGCCTGGGCCTGGAATTCCTTAGGAAGTAACACACTCATTGAAATCAGGATCAGGTCTTTCATTAGTAACATTTTAGATAGCTTCTTAGCTATATCACTTCTCCTCTACATTTAACTCTGGTATGTTGGTTGTTCTTCATACAGAATGTTCTTTGGGATACTATGGAGAAAGCTGTGCAAGAGTTTGTCCGCTGTGTCCTGGAAACTTCAGATGCAATTCAATAACTGGCAAATGCCCAGAAAAGTTAATGTGTGTGGACAAATTTAAAGGTGAAATTTGTGAATCAGGTACAGTAATATTAACTCGGGGGGGTTTTTTAATTCACCTTTTCTGTCTAATATGTATAGAGAAGACATAAAATGATATTACCTGTCCCAGGACATCCTGGATATTAAATGTTGTAGTGTGACCTGCAGATGTAACCAAAATGAATTATTCTTTGAATATACCGAGTTGGGCTAGCTTCACAAAAGGATTTAAGCACATAACTGTCACTTTAGGCACCTAAATCCCAGAATCAGGCCCCATTGGGGGTTCACAAAACCCCTGCTCAGCTCCACGCCTACATTTTTGCAGTAAAAGTTTCCTAGGTGCCTATGTTTCTGCCTCTGTGCTGTCGGAGAATAACACAGTTCTCACTCTTTGTTTGGGTACAGCAAAATCAGATACTTTATTCTCTTTAACAGCTGTGTAAAGGAGGAGAGTGCACTAGGACACAGGGTCTCCCCCTCCTAGGCAGATCTCTTCACAGGTAAACAATTACAGCAAGCATTTATACCTTTTGTTACAGACAATAATAAGCAACATCTGCATTTTGTTTATACATGGGTCATTCTGATATCTTGTTTTTCTCACTTATGTGGACTCTTAGTTTACATTCCATATTGTCTGCACATTATCTAACATTATCTACACAAGGTCGCAACAACTTCTCACACAGTTCTGTACTACTCGCCTCACACAATCCTCGCTTCTACAAATCTCGTGTTACTAGGGTTACAGTTAGCCTGACTCTTGCTAACAAACTGTCATGCATTGCAATCCCCTTCTTGTCAGTTCTTTCTCTGCTTCCACAGTGCATGGCTGCCCCACTCTAGGCATCCAGATGCCCTTCCCTCAGAATAAAGCAAGAACTGGAGGAAGATAGATATTCCTCTGCCTAACTTGCCTGCAGGGCCCAATCCAGTGAGCATGCTCAGAACTCACCTAGCAGATGTGCTATTACCTCCGTTTTACACCTAGGGAACTGAAGTTACACAGGAAGTGTGTGGTAGAGCAAAGAATCATATGTAAGTTTCCCGACTCCCAGGCTGGCACTCCAACCACTGTGCCATCTTTTCTCTGTAGCCCAGATTTGGCTCATTGTAACTTCAGGGCATAAATCAGCTACAGAATCAGTCCCTTAATAAGGGCCTGATCCAACTCTTATTAAATCAAATGGAAAATTCCCATTGACTCCAGTGGGAGTTGGATCAAGCCTTAACTAAGATAACTTGTTTTTCTTTACAGTAATCCTCAGTCATTGGGTAGTAAGATTTTCTTTACTCCAGCAGTTTGTCCCTGTTCGGTTGCTTGCCTATGGTGGAGATCTGGGGTATTTGGCTGGTTTGAGTGATTGTGTGTGTGTGTGTATTTGTTTTCTCTTTCTCATTCAGTATTACTTGTGCTGATTCTCATCTCCTCCCCTTTGTGTACCAGCAGTTACATTATACAACAAATTCTGTCTCTGGAAAGGTAGAGCCCTCCTCTGAGGCTATAACTTGAGCAAATTCAAAGCTGAAGTGCAGAGGTTTATTTATTTAATTGAGCTTTTTTTCTTTATAAAAGGAAACCTAACAAACATTTCCACAGCATTGAAACTCAGAGAACAAATATGGGTCTTGTCTTGCTTCTGTTGAGGTCAATGGCAAACTGTTCAGGAAGCTGTTTTTGATGTCATGGCTTTGATGTTTTCTGCTTTTATAGTGGAAATACACAACCCTGCACTCGGGTCTTGGCAGGTAGGCTAAGGAGATATTTTGTTTCTGAAAATAAACATGGTCTCAATTTTTGGAGCCATATTTTCAGTGGGCCTCCTTAATGGCACCTGAAAAACTTGCATGCTCACCTGCTACTTTCCATATGCAAAATAAATAGCACTTAAGCAGTTTGCAGACACAGGTAAAGAGACTCATTGAAAATGTGGCCCATACAATTTCAAATAGTTAGCAAATTTCTTTATGGAGGTGTAAAGTATTTTTAATACCTTTTGCAGAAAATGTGTTGTTTATTTTATAGTAGTGCCTAGGATTCCCAATCAAGGATCAGAGCTCCACTGTCCCAGGCACTGTACAGACAGAGCTTTGCTATTCACCTTTTTAAAAGTGCGTATGCCTTTCTTCAAAAAACTGCACATACCCTTGTGGAACCTCACAGCATATTTTTTCAGCTAATGGCCCATTAGCTGTATCACTATTCATGGTATGTTGTCTGTTCATCCTGGATGATACATTGTCCAGGTTTAGACATCTTTTTACATTCCTTTTGCACTTAAACTTCTTTGTTTGCAGGACTCACCAGTTTAAAGTGCCCTCAAGACCCCACATGGTGGTATTGGAATGGAAACTGTTATTACCTAGAAAGGAAAGAGACTATGCGGTGGGAGCAGGCTCTGGACCAATGTGCATTGTATAAGCATGCTAGTCTTCTCCAAATAGATAGTGCAGAAGAAAAGGTATTTTTGCGAAGGGAAGGAGTTATTTTCATTTCAAAGAAAATCTGTAGTTTGAAAGTCTTAAGTGGATTTTTGTAGAATATCAGGGTTGGAAGGGACCTCAGGAGGTCATCTAGTCCAACCCCCTGCTCAAAGCAGGACCAATCCCCAGACAGATCTTTGCCCTAGATCTCTAAATGGCTCCCTCAAGGATTGAACTCATGGCCCTAGGTTTAGCAGGCCAATGCTCAAACCACTGAGCTATCCCTCCCTCCAATCTTGAAAGTTAAATTTCTCTCTGGTTACTCTGTTGGACTTCTCTCTTTGGGGACTGCTTTATTTCAATGTAGTTCTAAGGTAGCAGAGCCAACTCTTCTTCCTCTTTGTTTATCAAATGGGGCTTTTCACTGACTTCCCAGCAGGATTTGAGAGACAGTTGGATGAGAAGAGCCTTGTGGGAGTTTTAGTAACAGCAGGAAATTGTTACTGTTTCAGATGTGGGTGGCTTTCATGCTGGAGAGTGGCACCTGGATTGGTTTGTCAAAGCAGCAGTCTAGTGCCTGGCAATGGACTAGTGGACACGGTGCTAATCTTGCACTCAGATGGTAAGGAGTTAGCCATTTTAATTATGAAAACCTAGCAGATAAGGAGCTGGGGAGTGGGTTGACTTTACATGCTTGGCTGTTTCATGTACTCAACTGATCTTCTATAGACTGAGGTGCTTCCCCAGCTAACTTCCCCCCCCCCCACCCTGAATTGCTGCTATAGCCTGGTGGAGAAAAGTATTTGAATCTTGTTTCATTTTAACCATCATAGCTATCATGTTCTCTGTACATTAGCATTAGCTGTAGATGCTAGAGCTGACAGTTGTCTAGTAGATTTGGCAGGCATAGAAATTTCTGTTAAGCAGGAAAATGGAAGACATTGAGATGTGCTTTTATAATTATTAGTGTAACAATAATATTCACAAACAAAGGGGTAGAAACACCTGGTTGGAACAACTTTATTAAGCAGTACAAATAAAGTGGTGGATACACTCCTGAGTCCCTTTGTGAATCTCACCCTTAATCCTTCTCTACACTGGAGACATGCCCTAACTTTTGCCATCGGTGCCCAGCCCGTAGCGTAGCTGCTATACTGCAGATTTCTAGCGTAACCGTGGTAAAGAGCTATGAAGTCATGATTTACACTATTGCAACGTACCCTGATTTCAAGCAGGGATAACTTCCACAAGTGCAAACAGCAGCTTTGCGGATCTATGCCAGGGGATGGTGTGTGTTCAGTTACATTGATTGCTGGCCATTGGGGCAAATCCACAGTGGAGACAAGGTCTTACATTGCTAAACAGTCAGGCTTTTGAGTGATCACTGATAGAATGCCCATGAAATTCAGGCGTCTTTATCTCAAGGGATGTTGGCTCCACTATCCAACAGTTCTTTACTGTGGGAGCATGAAAAAGGGACCGAAATGAAGATTAGTCCCAAAACTAGCAGAAATATTAAAGCTGCAAATGTATTCTTGATAGCTTTGGGGGTAGCTTTCCTATCTGCATTTTCTCTGTCTTCCAAATCCATTAAACATAAGTTTTCAAGTCACTTTAGGTGGACAAAGTTTTAAATATCACGTGTACATCCTCATGCTTCCCAAACCATGCATTTTAGATTCTGTAGGTATTCTGAGGATTAATTCTTTTTAAATTCCTTTAATTATTGTGAAGAAACTCTCATCTTATTCTCACTTTTCTGTTCTATTTGTCAAAGATTAATGAACCTTAAATCTATTAGGTACCAACATTTTTTAAATCAAGTTTTCTAAAAGATATATTGTAGGAATTATTTTCTAGACGGTTCTATGTCCTGTGTGTTAGAGGAGGTCAGACAAGATGATCATAATGGTTCCTTCTGGCTTTGAATCAATGAATCTGCATGTGTGCATTTGGCAGTTTCAATAAGAAACCTTCTGGAATTAAATACAAAAATAGCAGAAAATGCATTTGTACTCAATAGATACAAAGAATTTTAATCACACTCATGAAGAAAGCACCTGAAGTCAACATGGGAATTATTGAAATGATAGAATAACATTTTGTATTTGAATGTGGATAGATGTGATAGATGTGATTTCAACATATGTTTCTTTTCCTTGACTCAGTTGAATGCTTGACCTACTTAAGATCATATTGTTGCCATTATTTCTGTTATTGTATGTAGCAAATGGATATTCATGGGTTTATTGGGACTTTTTTTGGAGTAATTACATTTTCAGTAGTTTTCAAAAGAGCCAATATAACAAAGAGGAGAGAAGGTATTTATATTCTGATAGCTTCTTGTTTTATAATAAAAGAACAATTTACTGGGGGCCATATTTTGTGTTTCTGATTGTACAGCAGGGCCAATAATTACTTTAGAAATATTCACCTATGCGGCCTTATTTTTTTTAACAGGCTTTCAGACATTAAAAGGGGTCAAAGTGGTTGCGCTCAGATGAAGAAAGGAGGAGAACTTATGGCTACTGGTTGCTCCACACGCCTGCACTGGGTCTGTGAAAAACAAGCAGGTGGTGATCTAAAGAACCAGTAGTCGTGTCTACAGCTAATTGTGTAGGATCTTATAAGATGCTTTTCACGATATATCTGATTGCATGTTGCTGCATATGTACTATACCCGGGGAATGCAGATTCCAAAGCTAGCTAACTCTATGTGCCAAGTATTCAGGTGATGTAAATGGGTTTATCTCATTGATTTAAATGGAGCTGTGCTGATTTTACAGCAGCTGAGAATCTGCCTCTAATCTCCACAGTGTAATTTAAATTAGCAATTGCTGTGCAAGAACAATTTAGAAAAATGTATCAACAAGATACTTTCAAAACTAATTCATAATATACGAAAAGACGATCATGAGATGTGTCTTATTGACAAACCTCAAGGAGTGAAATTGAATTACTGTATTACATACCATAGTATCTTGTGATAAATCATGTGGTGGTTTGTTTGACTTTATACATGGTAACTATTGAATAAAATGAAGCTATTGTGTGAAATTCCTTCTGTGTCTCCAGAAGATCCAGCTGGCCTGTATAAAATACTACTTCTTAAACTTGTGCTGCTAGAGAAGTTCAGCAAAAAAACCCCCAAAACTTTAGTCTAAATGAAACATAGATTCTCCCTGCAGATCAAGCTTTCTGTGTTCAGACAACAAAACAGTTCATAAAAAGTAAAGGTCTAAAATAATAATTCTGTCCAACATGGTCTGCATCAGAAATTGGTGCATTAACCAGGGAAAAACCAGGGCTGAATCGAGCCTTCATTGCAGCCTGCACTCTTTCTACTTGTACTTATTAAAATATTTAATGAGTAGTCATTAAGGCCCCAATTCAGGAAAGCACTTAAGTATGTACCTAACTCCATCACTATGCAGGACAACACTTCGACATGTGCTTTGGTCCTGCAAGTCGTTAAGTGCTGTCCTGAATAGGGATGCTTTTGTGAAGCACGGCCTAGTTGCTCTAGAAACTTTAGTCCTTCGGCTAGTGTAATTGCCATGGCTAAGGGAGCTGCAGGCCAAGCTAGTCTGACTTTAGCGTCTCTGTGATTCATGCTGTGTGTTCTTGTCAACTTTACAACCTTCTTTTCACTTGCAGACCTTGATATTTTCCTTGAGTATCCTGGAAGAATACTGCTTTCTCTGGTGGCAATGGCTCAATACAGTACCCTAACTGAAGCAAAATTCTACTGCATGATCAAAGCTCATTGTACAGGAATAAGTAGTTGGCCATCCAAATTTTATCTTGTCTCAGGAAGTGAAATGGTGTCAGCTCCCGGTAGATGTATAGTTTACTTGAAAACAAGTAAGGATCCATCTTTTCTCTTTACTAATTAGTAAAAAAACAAAAACAGATAAGATTTAAAAAATACTTTTTTTGTTTTTACTGTTTTTATAGTATGAGTAAAGAGTCAGCAAAAGTAAAGATTCAGAATCTTGTTAAGTAGGAAATTGACATAGAGCAGGGAGCCAGAGGGTTGATTATTTTCCCAGTCTGCAATTATTTTGTGACCGTGGACAAGTCAGTTTCCCTGTCTAGAAAAATGGAAATAATGTTGCTTACCCACTTTTGTAAAGCTCTTGGAGATCCAGGAATGGAAAGCTCTGCATGTGGGAAATCCTGACCCAGTTCCTCCCCTCCATTCCAGAGCCTCCTTTGGCAATGGAACCAGTTTGTTTTTGTCTAAGCCAATGGGAGAACAAGACTCCTGGGGGTTAGGCAGGACCTGCACAACTTATTGTAACTGCTAGTAGCAAACATCCCCAGTAGCCGGTAGTGGGACACTAGATGGGAAGGGCTCTGAGTTACTACAGAGAATTCTTTCCCAGGTGTTTGTCTGGGTCTTACCGAAGTGCTCAAGGTCCAACTGACCATCATATTTGAGGTCAGGCAGGAAGGAATTTTCCCCTAGGTCAGATTGGCTGAGACCCTGAGGGTTTTAGTCTTCCTCTGCACCATGGAGCATGGATCACTTGCAGGTTTAAACTAGAGTAAATGATGGGTTCTCTGTAACTTAAAGTCTTTAAACCATGATTTGAGGACTTCAGTAACTCAGCCAGAGGTTATGGGTCTGTTACAGGAGTGGGTGGGCGAGTTTCTGTGGCCTGCAATGTGCAAGAGGTCAGACTAGATGCTTATGATCGTTCCTTCTGATCCAAAAGTCTGAGTCTATTGCTCTGCTGCCTGGGGTGCCCTGTATGGTATTGAGCTGAAATAGCCTCTGCTGCTGCTCAGGCTAAACCCAGAGCAGAGGATTTGCCCCTTTCACCAGATAAGTAGTGTTATTTCACAGCATGTGTAAGATACATGTTCTCAAGGAGCAGCAGGACACTTTCAAAGAAGTGTATTGTGGGTATGAGAACTAATCCCAGGAGGCGAAGGTGCACCAGTCTTTAAGAAAGAAGGACTGTGCTGTTTGGGTAGAATATTTTGTTTATAAATAGGAAATAGGGCCAGGTGGGAGACAGAAGCGCACCAATATGTGAGAGTTTGGGAGAAAGGTGTCTGATCACTTGGCAGGCAGGAAAGCTTTATTAAAGATCTGTCATGCAAATCCGCTAGCCTCCTTCCATGTGATCACTGTAGTGTAAACAGGCTTCCCCACCATATAAAAACAACAGATACTCTGGTTTCTAGTTAACTATAAAGTCTTTTCCCTTCTGATTTATTAGGCCTTTAATAGAAAAATTACAAAACACAACAAAGACCTTTCTCCTAGGGTCCCAGGCAAGGTGCTTCTTTCTCAGGTATCAACTTGCAGTATGTAAATAGAATCTAAACTATAGATAGATCCCCTTTCCAGCTGTCTGGGCCAGAGCCCTTTCTGCAGGTTCCTGTGACCTCACAATCTCCTTTCCAGGGAAAGCCAGCATGTGTTATATTTCGTGATGGATTAATGGGTCGTGTATGAAGGGCCACCTGGCTAAGCAAACACTATTTCTTAATCCCTACTTGTGGTGGTTCCATCCCTGCAGTAGATTCAGCGTTAGTCGTGGCTTTTCTCTGCAGTGACCAGATTGCGATAGGATATTTTCAATTCATAGGTTCTTTGCACGAAGGGTCAGCACACCACATCACAAGGGGATAGCAGGGATATAACAAATGTAACCTATTAAGATTTCAGTAAGGTTATTGATATAGTGCCCCATAATAAACTAATTAAAAGTGGGTAAATGTCAGTTATTGATGAAAAACACCATAGTATGTATTGGGAAGTAGTCGGAAAATAGAGTATTCATTAAGGGTGGGGTGTCAAAGTGGAGTATGGAAAGAGGATGTTCAGTATTAGCATTTATATTCTTTAATATTTTTGATTAATGTTTTATTAATTTTCACAAAGACACAAAATACAAAAAGGTAAATGACTCTCGGCTTGTATATGTTACCAAATGCTGCACATTTCACAGGATAGCCAGTAAAATCATGTGGTTACCCAACTTTACAACTGTCAAAGACAGGGCCACCCAGAGGGGTTGGGGGCAAGTGGGGCAATTTGCTCCAGGCCCTGCAGGGGCCCCCACAAGAATATAGTATTCTATAATATTGCAACTTTTTTTTTATGGAAGGGGCCCCCAAAATTGCTTTGCCCCAGGCCCCCTGAATCCTCTGGGCGGCCCTGGTCAAAGATGCAAGACCAGACAATACATAATCAGACAATATTACACAGATACAACCTGTTAGGGTGGGGTAACAATTGTAATAAAAAAGGCTTGCACAAATAGGCGAAAAAGGGGAAAGAGGAAGCCAGCGAGTGGTCTGTTGGGAAGGGAAGAAGAGGAGAGATCAGCTGGGATGAAAACCTGGCATGATAACTTTTCTGACAGTAGCACAGCTGGAGGGATAACAAACACCCACATTTGATATATCCACATGCATTTCTAGCTCCCATAACTTGCAAAGGATATAGGAAAAAAGTAGAAAAAATACCAAGAGCAAAAAGGGATGGTACAAGGATTAGCAGATAGGGCACAGGAAGAGATCTTGAATGAGCTAAATGTATACAGTCTGGAAAAGAGGAGACTCATGGAGGACATTATCATAATCTATAAATGCTTTTGAGGCAGTAATATAAATGAAGGAAGGGAATTATTCACACTATCAGAAGATGGGCTGAAGCTAAAGAAGGAAAAGTTTAGGGTAGACATCAGGAAAAAGTTCTTGGTAGTTCAAGCTATTAGGTAATGGAGAGAGTCCAGGCAACATCACTGCAGTTATTCATGAATGGGTTAGTTAATATATTTTGTGGAAGTGGTGTAGGTGGCAGTCTCTGGAAATGCAGAAAACTCCTACCTGATGACCCAAATAGTCTCTTCCTGGTCCTGCTATTTATGGTTCTTTGGTTCATTTATTAGGCAATGTTTAAGAATTGTGGTTCTCAAACTTGGGCTAGGATCCTAAATCCATATTTGGACTCATAATATAACCTGCCTTATTTTCTTCAGTCCTGTGATTCATAGGTACTGTGCATTCTTGGTTTCAACATAGCGTATCATCTTGGAAATCTAGATTCCACTTGTAACAAGAACTTACAACCGTATTTGGAAATTTTCGTTTATAAAAGTTATAACTATACGTTTGGACTTTGTGTAAGTCTCTTGTTAGAGTGTTTTTTTCTTAGATGTTTCACAGCTGACTACTTTTCTTGCCTCAACAGATGATGCAGATTGTAGGGATGACACAAGAACATTGAGTCATATATCTGTTACATTTTAAAGTATTTATTCCAAGATAACATAACTCATTTGAACCCAAATGCTGATAACTTTCTCCAGCCCGATTCTACTCTCTCCTCTGGTTCTCAGTTGTGGTAATGGAAATTGTTAAAAAATGAATGAGAAAGGAAAAAGTCAGCATGCATAGATGTAATCTTGCTGTTAATCTCAGAAAGTTGCTATGTGTTTCCCTTATCTAGGCTGTGTTTCTGGGCGGTACGGATCTGGATGCAGGAAAGCCTGCCCCCGCTGCACTAGCATCCTGCCTTGTAACAGTTTGACTGGCTTCTGTGATGAGAAAACAACGTGTCTGTTGCCATTCACTCTAGCAAGCTGTGTGGCAAGTAAGTACGAAAAGGGGACACCTCAGAACATCCAATTTTCTATTACGTTGCCTGGGTTTTAATCCACATAAAATGAGCTGGCTAGGGTCAGGAGGGATGTTGACAAGAGCCCTGAAATGATGCCCCATCTCTTTCATTTTACACATGTCAGTCATTGAAACTAGATAGATGGGGTGCTCGTTCCCTCTTGTGTGCACTGATACCTAGGACTGTGGCCCATGAAAGCCCTAGAGTGCAAACTATCTTTCTCTTTGGTGCTTGTGTCCTTTCCCTGCCATTGAGCTCCTGCAGACCAGTACAAGTTTGAAATCTGTCTGGTTCATGAAAGAGACCGGACTGAATTTATTGGATCTTGTAAATCTTCTGATACGCCACAGAAAAGGTGGAGCAGCAGTG